GCAACTGTGTTGCTGTCCAAGCAGCCTACAGAAGCCACAAGACGGGCGGTGGAATTCCTTGTTCGGATTTGTGATGATTTGAGACCACAGCCCGTCCCTTTTTTGGGTTGGCTGGAAAACCCACACCAGCCTCAATTAGTTGAAGTTGGGCAACCATCCATGCTAAGCAGGCTGGCCCCGCACATGAAATTCAATGCCCACGTCAGGCCATGACTAGAAGTCAGGGATCGCAGGGATCGCAGGGAGAGAAACGATCATCAGCCCGGGCCCTTTGCTTTTTTTATGATGTCGTTCGCGCCCCTCGTGTTGTCAGTCCTTTTAACTTATAACAGCAATAAGTTGTGTTTCTTGATCTCAGAATGGGTTCCAACGCAGTTTGCATCAATTGCCCCATTGTGCTGACAACATTGCACATTACATGGTATGTTTTCCACCCACGAAAAAACACACCTTAAACACATTCTTTGGAGCGTAGACCACCAGCTCAATGACGAAGCGCACGGTGAGCCTTCGAGAAGCTGTCCACATGGTTGCCCAGTCCAAATCCTCAAGGCCGGGAGCTGGAGGGTTGAATGTATGTTATTTCTGAGTTCAGAGGTGGAGTACATTTAAATGTGACAGGCCATCCAGTGTAAAGAAAACCATCAAGAAGAACAAGCCCCCCGCTCAGATCCACCGAGTGACTCAGGTTTGACCCATGTCCCATTCCGTAAACCGGCAAGCTCTTTTCCGTTCCTGAGGCCTCCACCTCGATATCCGAAGACTTCGGTGCCAATGGCCTCGGACAAGCATCCGCTGCGGTTCATGAGTGTACTCAGCACCTTTTCCTGGGCACATGCATTCCTTGAGACCTTGAAAGCTAAGTATGGTGATGTTTGGGTTTCCTCCCGTTTGAGAAAATGGAAATGGTCTATGAGCTCGGCGTTCAGTGGATTGGGATGTGCTGAGAGTGCATCTTGACAAGCTATTTGTTGACAGAACACCTCGTGATGCAATGCCAAGCCCTTATTTTGTAAGATTTGTTTTTGGCCTGCCCGCCACCGTTCAGGCAGCATTGAGTCTGCAGGCCGCAGCCCAACAGTTTCTAGCCGAGAGGAGGAAGCGTGTGAAGCCAGTGCAGCATGTAGTGTTACGATCTTCATGCGAGATCATGCCAGATTGCCAGAACATTTTGAAGCATACGTTTCCTGGGCATTGCAACTACCCTGACATCAACCAAGTGGATTTCACCAGTGGTCATGTGAACTGGTGCTCGACCCACCAGCGTATGTGCAAAGAACTTGTCAGCAAAGATCCCTACCGCACCTCGACTACCTACTACTGAGTAGTCTTTTGCCCTCTGTCAAATGGAATGTACGTTGCCATATACTGCCTGGCCCGTGGCCTACCGAGGCATCAATTGCAATACCGCTGGCCAGAGACCCATCTTCTTATTGAACAGTATCTAGTGTCTCGTAGTCACTGACTTTTTCCCAGCTCTACGAATTTTGTGTTCTTCAGGTCCGGTATGTGTGGATTACAGCATGATGGGGAAAAGAAGAAAGGACCAGGGGCCGCAGTTTCGATCTCATCAGAGCTATTTCCAGGAGTACCAGAAAAACAACGATATTCTTTTTGTAGAAAATGTGACAGAGTATGAAGAAAAAGTGGTCCAGCACATGTTGGGCAAGGAGTGGGTTCTGGCAGGCATTCGCCTCGACCCGAGGCTGCTTGGCCTCGGTGTGGCACGCCCTCGCCTGTATCTCATTTGCTACAGGTCTTCCAAGATCAGGTGGTCCGGTCCGAACCTGGAAACCTTGATGGACGTGCTATGTGCTCGTGTTTTTCTATCAGCAAGAAACTACTTTTGGCAAACACTACCCAAAGCAGTTCTCACACCAGGTGAAGAATCATGGCGTGCTGTCCCAATTTTTCAGTATTTTGTGGTTAAGACTAATTACTTCTGATTCTGGAAATTGAAGATTCGATCATGCAGTCGTTTATTCATGGTAGGAATCAGTCATTGGGGTTCAGTTGCTGGTATTGGGTCTGATGAACAGCTTCTGGCACCGTGGCTTAGGAAAGGAACCTTCAGGCATATCGTGGATTGGAGAAAGAGTTCCGGTACCCAGACCTGACCCAATATGCTGCAAATGGGCGTGCTCGTGGCGAGCTACGGGATGGGTCTTTAATGACCCTCACGACGAACTGTAGCAGGATCTGGTCTGAGGCCAGGACACATCATGCCACAAAGCTTCATAGATCTTCATAGGCATGCAAGCCCTCCTGTTGGGTGAGACCAACAAGATTCCAAATCACATGAATGCCCTTCAACATCATTCAACTGTCAGGAGAAGGAACGCTTCATGAGTGGGAAGGAGCTACTCACTGCCCAAGTTATTCCACGCACACGTTTGCAATCCAAGAGGTGTGGTGCCCCGATGGTCTGCTGGAAGGGCGATTTGAATAAGAATTCGATTCCACGCATGGCAGGGAACTCCATGAGCATCCCCTGCCTTGGGTTTATTTATCTTGCTGCAATTTGTTCTCTAGAGCCAATTGTGTGATGCCTGAAAACAGCAAGGCTTCAATTAGCTGCTTCAAAACGTTCAATTAATGCTACTGCTACTGTGTGAAGGCCAGCCGATTGGAACAAAAGCACGAGGAACCACGAGCTTCTTTAAACGGTTTCGTTATTATTGTGCATTGATGCTCAAACATGTCACAGTTACAGGGTGGACTCTTGCCCTACCTTCCAGCCCTGATCAAGCCTGCAGGTAGGCCAGGTCTCTGGCCTGCAGGTGGTACTCGATGCCAAAACGGGAGTCGCCTGGGTCGGAGCAGTCATTTGCAAAACTTGCAAAGACTCGGCCATGGGTTCATCGGGTCCTTCTGGCAGCCAAGTCCTTTGGATTAAAGCCTCTTACTGAAAACTCTCCAGGTCTCCAGGTTTCTAATTAGGCCCTGACACCAGTTTTGCATGTTCGGTGTTGTATCGGCTTAGGTCCTTCGATTTGGACCAAGACCAACACCCGGTGAAATACGTACTGGCTCATCTTGAAGAAGGTATTTACGAGTCGATCCACACCTGGATTACCCATTCGGTTGCAGACTCCGGGGACATCAATTCGCTTGACCCACGTGGTTTTGATGTGCCAGCGCCCTGGCTGATTGGACAGGTTCCTTCCATGGTGTGTTGTAAAGCTGCCTCCTTCCCTGAAAAAGAAAGTGTGGGCGATTGTGATTCTTCAAACCGATGAGGGGCCACAATATAAAGTAGCCATTTCATGGAAACCGGAAACCCCACCCAGTGTAAAACTTTTGGCCTGCAACCCTTAGGACGAGCACGGGAAGACCTTCCAGTTGCCGCTGCTTGGGCTGGGGTTCCAGCGGCCTGCTGATGGGATGCCTCTTCTCCAGCCGTGGTTGAACTCGGCCTTCGACATACTGAGCAAGGGGTTCGAATCATGGCGGGACCCGCTGGAGGTCCGAGTCTTGGAAGGCCGTACCTGGGGCAAGTGCCTCCCAACCAAAGGACTTGGCAGATCATCTATCATTTGGTTCTCTATCTTGTGGACTTTCAGGGAGCTCAAAGACAGCATGGATGACGATGAGCTGAAAGACTTCCAAAGGCCCCCTGATGATTCCTGAGTCCGGATTTTGTGAAATCATCCCAAAGGCCAAAGACCAACTTTGCAAGTCTCAACAGAAACCACCCAAAGACCCTTTATGTATCGTCCCAGGAGACCAAAATCTTAAATGGCTCTGGGGGGGCTGGTCCGGTTGGGAGTACCGTCCCCTGACCATAATTCCGGGCTCACAATATGTAATATCACGTCTTTGGGGAAAGAGCGGGGGGCTGGTCCGATTGAAACCACCGTCCCTGGATGTCTTTGGGAGGTCATGGGAGGTCAAACAATTTAAAAACCTAGGGTTCCGGAAGGTCTGGGGGGGGGCTGGTCCGGTTGGGAGCACCGTCCCCGGAGGAAGTTTGATTTTGATGGCCAGGGGGTGGTACATAAAGGCTCTTTGGGGGGTTTCACAGACCTTCCCTGTCAGGTTTTTGATGACTGTGCAGGTCCTGACAGTCACCGTGATTCAGGAAAGGGCTGTGGTGAACTATGAGTGGCGACGCTTGCAGGTGCATGAACAGCAAGCGGAACGTCAAAAGAAGAATCCGATGCAGAAATGTTTGATTTTCGCTCAGAGAGCCCAGCAAAAATCCATCGAGGACCATAGCAAGTGCTACCTATTAGATTCAAGATTTTGTTTTCAATCAAATACCTGTCACTGACCCAATGTTTGAAAGAATGTGAACCAAGAACCAAGGACCCTTCTTCCCTTGACAGGATTCTATCAAATATCCGTCAACCAAAGAGGGCTATAAGTCTGCCTGGATGGACGCCATTGCAGAGTACAACAATTACGGATTTGCTGCAAACAATCCGAAGTATCGTGTGGACGATGATGCTGCCCTTCAGCTGTATTCCTTTAAGGCCATTTGGCACAAAATTGGCATGTGTTCCAAAGATCCCCAATAAGTTCAATTATGTTGCGCCCTAACCCTTGTCACAACGCTGTAGACAAACCCGGGTTTTTGGTGCCCGCGCCGAAGGTCGGAGTGGAAGACCTCACATGGAACTTGGTGGAGAGGCATCTTCATCAGTTTTCATGGCAAAGCTCAGGCTCGGGGATGTTTCAGAAAATGATGATGTTATCAATGTCACTGTTATCTTTATTTAATAATTTAAAGACGTGGCGTTTTGGTGGCTTGGCTGTACCAATGCTTCTTACGTCCCTGACAGCCTTCGCCAAAGACACGCTTCTTGATCCTCGCTGGCTTCTGGATGGAGTCTGCAAAACGACCAGCGGATTGTGGCATGAAGTGATGACGATGACGGAGTCTGGGCAGTCTTGTTTACTTGCAAGAGTTGTTGTTTTTAAAGATGTTTTTAGTTTCCGTGTTGATCAATTGATGGGGGTCTCAAACACCAACCAAGGATGCAAAGCAACTCCTTTTCATGAAGAGAGTGCTACACGTACATGGCATTCAGGCACGTCGGGGAGGACGAGCCTCAGTGAGCAGGATGAAGGTTGATGAGTGGCAGGCTGAGGTCAACAGGATGTGCCTCGCTGCTTTTTGCCTTGAGTCGATGTATCGAGCTGTAGATGAAGCTGGGGATCCACTCTTTCCAGACTGTATTATGCAGAAGCTGTCAGTCTCTATCATTGAAGGGTGCCTTGGACAAAAAAAAAAGGTGTTCTCAAACCAATACTACGTGTAGAGCAAAAAGAGATGGTATAGGAGCCACGTTTTGCTAAATTCACTGACTGGTAGCTGTTTGTTCCTTGAACAACTCAGGGAGCATTTGGAGGAGCTGCAGCAGATTGTGTCAATCATGGATCCACATTTCCAAGTGGAGCAAATTTCATTCTGGCAAGAGAACTTACCGCAAACCTCAGCTAGCAAAGAGGCGCTAGAGCAGGCAGATCGGCAGCTTGCTGCTCTGAGCGATGATGCTCGTGCAAAGGCGTGGCAGCATGATAAACTCATGCTAGCACGTGATGTGGCGACCATCTCCAAGGTCTACGACGCGGTGGAGAAATCAGCACGCTCCAAGCGTGTCCAGCGCGTATGCCACATGCGCAATGAAAACGCAATTGGTGCCAGTGTGATCAGTGGATACTTAGAGAAGAATGGTTTGCATAGATCCGGGTCTGAAGAGCAATGTCTCGCCTATCTGGAGCAGGAGGGGTTGGGATGCCAAAATGTTTCTTCTGTTTCCACCCACTGTTATTAAATTTAGATTTAAAAGTAATTGAGAAGAACCTCTAAATGCAACTTGTCCCTCAGTATCTTGCAGCCCACAAGAACATGGACTCCTTCTTGATGTGGGTCGACTTCACTAAGTGTGGAAGGCTCAATGGCAAGGACCTCAACCATTGCCTTGACTTGGTCACCGCGCTTTTGACAAAGCAGCCTTTGAGGTCAGTGGCACTCATCCTGGCGCCCCACTTGATTAGTGAAAAGGTGGCAAACGGTCAACGCGGAGAACGAAGGACGCCGGGGAAAACAAAGACCTGTCAAACTCTGCAAACCTTACCACCCAAAACTTAAACTCACTCGAATCCACCAGGCGTAGTTATGAAATTAATATTCAAACCCTGAAGGCGTGTGGAAGACCGACTTGATGGACGCCGATTGTCCAATCACCTGATCTCGCTGCGAATGGAGACCCCTCATTCCTCGAAGAGGGTGCCTCTACAAATGTATGGCTGGCTTGTCATGCATGAAGACACCGCCGACAGCAACGTGTTCAAGGATTCCCAACTGTTGTCCGACAGGTGGGGGGTCTTTTTTAAAATAGATGATTATAAAACTCTCAGGCTAAATCCCGAATAAGTCATCTTGACATTGAGGCTAGAAACCTTTAATATATAATGGGGTGTTTGCGGGCAGGTCTCCAAGGGAGGTATTGCCGTGGCAGCCAGAATCTGGCTACATCGTCCCACAGGCTGAAAAGGACAGCTTGCCCCATGCCAGCGAGGGGCAAAGGACTTTTGACCTTGTCCAAAAAACGTTTTGCTGAAGGTTCGAGGTTGTTCCGCTAGTTTTAGACCGTGGCAAACAAACAATGGTCAGGTATAGGTTTCGTTTCGGCAGAAGTTTGCCAATTGAGGTCCTTGAGCGAGGCCCAGGAAGCAGCACAGATCCTGAGCGGGCCAGATGTTCCGAGGGCGCTCTTGGAGGCTCTACTTGCCAAGGTCAGCGTCAGCAATCTTGCTGTGGTGAACGCGACGCCCTATGACGGCTGGTTGGAACGTACATGCCTCAAGTGGCACTTGGATCATGAAGCCTTCAAGGTTGTCCACCTCTCTTTGACAAAGCAGCCGGTCCTGACAGACTATGTCCAGAAAGTCCTAGCATTGGAGCTGATGCAGGCCATAAGTTGTGAAACTGTTGCTGCTCATTTCGACCCAGCCCAATTTGTTTAGTCTCAGAATCTCAGAAGTAGGGAACACCTATGAATGGTCCCATGATGTCCCATGTCTAATTTTAATTATCCGAAGCAAAGACATGCCTCTCCATAACAAACTTTGATCCCTTCAAGGGGTGGAAAGCCGGCAAACACTACATGGGTCCGGATATCAGGCCATACAACCCGGAACCGCCAGTGGTGGAGGAGGAGGTTGATATCAGTGGCTTCAAGGTGGTATCTGTCTCTGTGGATCCCAACAAGACCATTGGGCTTACAGTTCAAGTTTTCAAACCTCCACCAATCTATTGCACTTAGCTTTAGAATCTTGTTTGAGTCGTGCTTACCTCGCTCAAATGAGGAAGGGTTGGGACAAGTATACGTTCAGCCTTCCGCAGAAAGTTCGTGCTTCCCACTACAACGATGTGGTGTACGGGCCGGAATGGAAGCAGCTCCTGGCAGATTTTGATGCAAAGCCTTTTGGCGCTAATACAGTAAGTGATTTGGAATATCTTCAAGTCTCAAGCCCAGCAAAACGGAAGAGCTCCCAATCTCTCACCAAGCGGTCATTGTAGCCCTGAATTTTAAGTTGAGGGGGTACAAGCCACCACCATCCAGTACTTCCAAAACCAAGGTTCGGTGAGAAGAGCGTGCCAACGCCCATCGAAGCGCCCCCGCCACCACCTGAAGAGCCGGCGCCGCTTGAGAAGTGGGATGAGCCAACCAGCATGGCACACCTCTTGGAGACCTATGTGGTGGAGGGCAGGGTTCCAGGTAGGCATCCAGGGACGACCCTGCTCGTAGTTGCAGCTCAGAGGAGATGTGGGGGTACTCTTCAAGTTCAAGAAGGACAGGACTATAAACTGTTCCTTGCGCCCCGTCGTTGTTAAATTGGAACAGGTTGGGTACAGGGTTTACTGTGTGTCAACTTCATTCCCCTACTAAACAGAGTGAACTGAGATTACCTTGAGGCGTCACATGTCAACATTGAGTTGCCCGTCCACGAATTCATCCTCGGCCATGGCACCTCCCGCTTCTTGAAGCAAGCGAAAGTGGCCGACCTCAAGAAGAAGAGTCAGAAAGGCGAGACATGGCACACCCTTTTTTCACGGAACTTCATGAAACATATTGGGGGCATCAGTTGATGCTCATTTAATTTTGTTTGTTACAACCAGCTAGTGGCTCAAGTTCAAGTGTCCCCTTTGGCTGCCTCAACTAGAACCTCTTGCAGATGCCATCGCTTGAAGCACTTTTGTCCGAGCATGGCTTTGCGAAGGACCATTTGATCTTTTTTCAACAAACAGTTCACAATCCTTTTCCCTTAATTCCATGTAATTCCGTAATGAGGACTTTGAAAAGATGGCCCGACTTGATCCTGGCACTGCTCAAACACCACCATGCAGACCGGTCAGGAACCCTGCGCTTCATGTCCAATCTGTCGCCGTGAGCCGAGTTGACCTGAGGTCTTCACTCCACCAAGCAGCTCTGCCGCCAAGGAGACTCCTGCCAAGGAGGAGAGCTGATCTTTGTCTGTCACTCTCACTCCTCTGTACTTCACACAGATTTCGATGATAATGGATATGATAGGACGGTTCCTGGTGCCTTGATTGAGGACACCGAAAGACGCTTGATCGTGGATCGCACCCTCAAGGCCTATGTAGGATTACCTCACCTGTCACATTTTATCAACGGACTCTCAGGCGACGGAAGCAAGTCCTGGTCTTGATACCCAACCATATGGTTCCCATTTGGATGTCTTTGGTGATAGACCCAAGGACTGGCATTGATTCATGGCATTGCTTTTTCTGCTCTTCAGGCGTGTGAGTTTAAAAAAATACATGCTGCCCTCATGCCCATTCCTGGTCACCAGGAACTCTTCAAGAAAGAAGAAGAAGGACCAGAAGAAGGAGAAGAAAAGGAAGAAAACAAATCAAAGCAAGTGGAGAAGAGACATGAGATTGAGAAGGCACCAAGCCCACCGACCGAGGGGGTGACAGTTGCAAAGGCTGGTGAAGCCCAGGTCGCTGAGCCATTGCCTTTGACTGTTGCACGGAGCACCCAGGAGAACAATCCACCGCTCAGCAATGTCACAGTGGACATGTTGCAGCAAAAGTTGGACCATGCCAAGTCTGAGCTCAAGCAGGAAGCAAAGGAGTTGCGAATGCAGCAGTTCAGGCAGAATGAACCGAAGAACAAGGATGACAAGAATAGCAAGAATGAGACGGATCACAAGAAAAACAAACGTGAGACTGACCAGAATGCAGCTGGCACCAAGGGTAACTCAGAGGAGACCAAGGAGGAGACAAAGAACAGCAAAGCCGGAAGCACGAATGCTTCTGCCAAGCTGGATTCCACTATCAAGACAGCCGCCAAGAGGCTGAAGGCATCGTTGGAGAATTCAAGGGATGAGGACAATGACAAGAAGAAAAAGACAAACAATGAAGGAACGGGGGAGGAAGAGAAGAAGCCAAAGAGACGAGGTCGGCCGCCCAAGGCTAAGGCGGATGAGGGAAAGGCCGATGAGGGAGTGGAGGAGGATGGAAGCAAGACCAAAAAAAACAAAGCGAACGAAGGCAAAGGAAGAGAATCGCGCCGCTGAGGACGAGGAGGAACAGGAGAAGAACCAGGGAGAGAAGGGTGCCGAGGCGGTAGCAGAGAAGAATGAGGTGGCAGAAGGGCTTGAGAAGCCAAGAGGAAAAGGCAAGAAGCGCAAGACCAAGTCTGAAGTCACAACGCAAGGAGCTGATACAGCCGCGCAGCGACGACGACACTTGCAGGCCCTGAAGGCATCCAAGAATGACAAGAATGAGGTGGTGGATGAAGAAAGTGCTCTCAGGTCAATCAAGGGGAAGAGGAAGGGAGGAAAGCTGGCTGTCTTGAAGCAGGTGAAGGCGACAAAGAAGGCGGCTGCCAAGAAAAAGGCCAAGAAACTGACAAAGGAGGAACAAGAGAACCCCTTGGATCCCGAATCCGAGTTGAGTGACGAAGAGGATGAAGATGAGGACAGTGGAACCACCTTGATTCTTGGCCAGACTGAGCCTACCAAGAAGAAGAAGGAGAAGACAACCCCAAAGATGCAAGGGAAGGTAAAGCAAGCGCGGAAGACGCGTCAGGCTGAGTGAAAAACAAATTAACCCGTCCGACTCGATATCATTTCCTGTCCTTCGTAGGCAGCACCACCTTCAGCTTCAAGCTCGACCAGGAAGGCTGGGCCATGGCTCACTCTTCAGGAAAGTGGAGAGGTGTTCCAATGAATCGAAAGGTGTTTCATGCATGTTCATGCTAATTAAGCTTTAACCTTCTATACAACTACTACAGTCAGTCAATTCCACTTGCTTGCAGGCGACTGGCACCTGTGGGCGTGTGGGTTTGCGTGACGCTTACTACAAGCATATCGCAGAAGAATCCAAGAAGCTTAGGGACCAGCACCCTGAGTGGAAGCCACGTGAAGTGTTCCAAGAAGCCCAAAAAACGTCATTTACCCAGTGCATGATTTGTCATTTGCCCACAATGGTGACATTTTGATCATTTTGAATCAAAATGTTCAAATGTCCATCCATGGCTTAGGTGGCGATCCAATCCTGCACGTGTGGAGTCCATCAAGGCAATGTCCAATTCCGAATTGTCCCGGAGAAGGCTTAAGGTCAACAAGTCGCAGCCAACTGAGCCAACCAAGGAGCCTGACCTTGAGGTGGTGGACAAGAAGGATACAAAGGCCTTGCCTGCATCCGACCAAGAGATGGATGCGGAGGAGAGGGATGATGACTTCATCCCAGAGGAGGGAGAAGAGGAGGACTTGGATGAAGATGAGTTGGCAGACTGAGCCGCTTAGGGTAGGAAGTGGTGCAATGCAAGTTCATTGCAAATGTTTCTTTCAAGTTTTGATGCTGGGCATAGTTTCATGAACCGACAGCCAATGATATTTTAAGGGCAAACCAATCATATTTTGCTCAGCATAAGATATCCATACACTAGATGTGCGAGGGTCACCTTGAAGGCGCCATCCTCAGACCTAGAGTGTTTTTGAACACTAGTCTGGAGACCAAGGTGAATCAAGTTCGGGGGAAAAGTGAGTGTCAGCTACTTTCTGTCTAACTCTACAGCTTTTCTTTTGGACCTTTGACAAACATCTGATTCCTCCTTTGTTTGCCCGTGCAGGCGACATGGACAGGACAATGGTGTGCAAATGGCACCGCGACAGTGACGCAGTCGTGCTTGAGATCCAAGAGTCGCAAAAGAAGTCGACAAGTGACAGTGACATGTGTAGTTGGCGTGAGCTGTTGAGGGAACTGGAAGAGGAAGGACTCTGCGACGTGACCATTAACTCGCATGAGCTGGTTAGGGGGGCTGCGAGTGAGGACGGTTCCTTGTCTCCTATTAGGGGGTCTTTTGCCATCACACTTGCAACATCTTTCCAACCCTCTCCTGATAGATAGTTTGTCATCTACTTCTTCCTGCCCCTCCCTAGGTCATGATGGCTATGTGATTACCCCGAAAGCGAATGAGATGTGGTTCTCCTGGTCAGCTCCAACCAGTATACATGGTTTGAAGTACTCTGCAGTTGCCTCAGCATTCACAACCCAGGCAGGGGAATCAATCCGTTCCAAACACTTGCTTCAAACAATTATTTTGAGGATTATTGCGAGGGACATGTGCAATAATTGGTTCTGTCAGGCGTTGGATGAAGCTTCATCACGTCTCTTGAAGAAGGTTTGGCGGGTGTTCTATGTCAAGGAACCCAATGATCCTTGGATGAACCAGCAACTAAGACCAGCTACTATGATTTCACTCACTCTAAAACCAGCTACTATGATCTCACTTGATTATGGTGTGTTTTTTCTGTGAGGAGATGAACCCTCGCAACTCAGCAGCAAATTGACAATGGAATCTGTTTCTAATTGAGCTGTCATCTCAAAGGATCCATTCCAAACATTCGTTCGACCACTAGACCTGGGATTGAGCGAGGTAAGCCGCTATATTTCTTGCGGAAGCCTTTGCGGATGACTGAAGGGCAAGTAG